CAAAGCCCCAGGAGATAGTTGTATGTCATAGTTGCACATTCTTCTAGTTGCTGTATGTGGGACGCGGCCTCAGCATGGCCAGAGAAGCAGTGCGTTTGTGCGCGCCCGGGATCCGAACCCGGGCCGCCTGCATTGGAGCGCACGCACTTAACCGCTAAGCCACAGGGCCAGCCCCAGGGTTTTGTTTTTGACATCAGGTTCTGCTTAGAGGCCCTGGACACCAGGCTACCCCAAGCAGTTGCCCAGGTCACTTAGCAAAGTCAGGCGCGGCTCTGCCTCTCATTTGATGGGTGATACTGGCCCACTCATTCCCCTCAGTGGCCTCGTTTGTAAAGCAAGTGATGGCCTTAAGTGATCTCAGGATCACGGTTGGCCTGTGCTTTAGGTTCTTCTGCCTGCCTTGCTTACGGATGCTGAGGCTAGGGGTGGGGTGGGAGGGGAAATGGGGTGAGGTGGTGGTTCTGCTGTAGAGTGGTGTGGCTGCAGTGGGGTTTAGCTGCATCCCTGCCTCAGGACAAGCAGTCATGGCAGAGTGAACGGGAGATCTTCAGCACGCCCGGCATGAAACACGAGAACCTGCTGCAGTTCATTGCTGCTGAGAAGCGAGGCTCCAACCTCGAGGTGGAGCTGTGGCTCATCACAGCCTTCCACGACAAGGTGAGCCACGCCCCGTAGAAGTGGACTCCCAAGATGAGGTGATCACGGTCCTAGTGGTGGCCTTCCACGATAAGGTGACCCTGCCATAGGTGTGGACATGTGTCTGCAGTAAGAACCCCAAACCCTGGGATACAGTCTTATGAATAAGAGTAGTGACTTCACGATTAACACCCTCTGACACGCCCCCAACCCCTCCTAGCCTTATATACCTTCCACATCAATTGCAGCCTCCCAGCCATCGGTCCGTGGAGGCAGCCCACCCAGGGCTGCGCTGGGTCCTGTCCTGTACCCAGAGCCTGTGTCCAAGGTCTCTGCTCTCTCCTCTAGGGCTCCCTCACGGATTACCTCAAAGGGAACATCATCACGTGGAACGAACTGTGTCATGTGGCAGAGACAATGTCAAGAGGTCTCTCGTACCTGCACGAGGACGTGCCCTGGTGCCGTGGCGAGGGCCACAAGCCGTCTATCGCCCACAGGTACCTGGGTTAGTGATGACCCTCCTTGCGCTTGGCCTGGAGCTGCAGAGGGTTGGAGGGCGAGAGCAAGGCCTGGGGGGTGGGTCCCAATTTCATAAACATGCCTACCTGCTCTGTGGTGTGTCAGAAGCGACTAGGCGCAAAAACCTGGGCCCCGCTGGTGCTGCCCTTCCCCTGCCTTCCACCTGTGTCTTGGGCATGGCGTGGCCTTGCAAGCTTGGTTTTTGGTGCCCTCTAGTGGCTATGTGAGGAAGTGCTGACTCCATTACTTTTCAGTTGAAGAGTTGGCTTACCAGTTCTCAAACTTTTTGGTTATGATCCCTTTACACTCTTAAAAAGAACTTCTGTATATGTGGGTTATGTCTATTGATATTTGGTGTATTAGAGCACACACATTCCATTAACTGTCAGAATGATGACATCACAATGTATGTAGCCTCTGGAAAATTCTACTCTATACTCCTAAGAGAATGAGCTTAAAAAAGGCAAATAATGGATTATTATGAGAATAATTTTGACCTTGCAGATACCCTAAACAGTCTCAGGGACCCTCTGTGATCCTTGGAGTACAGAGCCACTGTGTTAACTCCTCATCATAGTGCTTACTAAATGGCAGGTGTGGCTCTAAACACTTAGAAATACCAGCTCGTTTAAGCCTCCTTGCTGCCCTGTGAGATAGGTACTCAGCCCCATGTTACACATGAGGGAACAGTAGTGCAGAGAAGTTAAGTAACTCAGCCATACCTAGTTTAGTGTGATTCTGTGGCTATGAGGGAGGGAAATGAGCCTCGAATTCCAGAGTTCAAATCTGAAGGGCCCCTAATGGTAAGAACATTAATGACATAGAAGATTGACTATATGAAGATTGACTATATGAAATTGCCATTTTTGTAGGTCAAAAACGGTTGAATGTCGACTCCTCCATACGGGTCACCCTAGCAGTAGTGCAGAGTAAGTGTGCCAGGGGTGGCCCTAAGCGTTGTACTTAATACTCCCCAGTGTAATCCTCACAACAAGGCTGAGACAGGCACTGGGGAGATTGAGGATCCAGAGTAGTCTGCTATAGGAGGTGGAGCTGAGCACATACGCCAGCACGCTGTTCCGCCCCTGCTTTCGTGGTGGGCTCAAGCCCCTCGGGCCTGCACAGAAACCCAGACAAGTTTACTTAAACTTTGTTCTCAATCACATACCAAATATTGTAAATTCTTAGAAAACTCACATCCCAGGCCAGTATGCCTGCCCTCAACCCCTCTGGGAATGCAAGGGCTGGCCTTTGATTCTCTGGGGACTGGGATGGGGTTTGCACAGCCAGCTGGGGTAGGTGTTGCCTGGACAGCTCTGGCGGAAGTGCAGTTAAGGATTCTCACACCACTTTCTGGGGGGTGTCTTACCGCTGCCTGCCTGTGCGGCTTCCTGGACTCCACCCTGGTGCAGACCCTGCGCCCCAGGTAGGGTGAGATGGGCTGCTCTGGGGTCTCTGGGGGCTGTAGGGCACAGGCTCTAATATCTTGGGAGCCAAGATGGGAAGCCGGGAGCAGGGTAGGTTGGACCGTGATGTTTAGCTTCGTCCTGGTCCACTTGTCTCCACAGGGACTTTAAAAGCAAGAATGTATTGCTGAAGAGTGACCTCACGGCCGTGCTGGCTGACTTTGGCCTGGCTGTTCGGTTTGAGCCAGGGAAACCCCCAGGGGACACGCATGGGCAGGTAACGAGCCTCAGGGGGTGCAAGAGGGGGACTGGCCCAGGAGTAGACACGGCCCTTGTGCTCAGCTGGCAAGGCACAGGGGCAAGGGTCACCGCGTGAACGCGGAACTATCTGAGAACAATGCTCCCGCTCACTGGTGGGGAAAGCAAGGCTTGGAGGGCGACATAGCTTCCCAGGCCTGTCAGCTGAGAAACGCGGATTCCTGACTGTGGCTTTGGCCGCTTGTCCTTGTAGCCTCGGTCTTTTCTTTCTTTCACTGTTAATTTTTAAGTATTCTCCTCCCCCTTTTGTTTTTGGTCTTAATCTCAGTAAAATACACATCGTCTGTGTAGCCCTTTGGGGGTGTTGATCGAGCGAAGAGGCAGCAGTTCCATGTTAGATTTTTGCCATCTCCAGTGGGTGATATTTTAAAATTGTCATTGAGGTATAATTTACACTGTGACCTCTTGTGACCCTTCCGTGAATGTCTCGAATCAGGGATTGCCATCATTGTTGGTGTCCTGCTCTGACTTCTCCCGTCCTGGCCCTCTCTGGGGCACACAGGATGTAGTTCCGTGTCTAGCTGTGAGTGCATTTGCATGTGGTCAGTGACCGTTAGACCCCCTCTTGTCCTCCTAGGTGGGCACACGGCGGTACATGGCCCCTGAGGTGCTTGAGGGAGCCATCAACTTCCAGAGAGATGCCTTTCTGCGCATTGACATGTATGCCATGGGGCTGGTGCTGTGGGAGCTCGTGTCCCGCTGCAAGGCTGCGGATGGTGAGCGGGACAGGAGCCCAGAGCATCCTGGGTGTGGGGTGGGGAGCAGCAAGCCCTTGGGGTGACCCCCCGGGCCCTCTCTCACCCCCAGGACCAGTGGATGAGTACATGCTGCCCTTTGAGGAAGAGATTGGCCAGCACCCGTCACTGGAGGAGCTGCAGGAGGTGGTTGTGCACAAGAAGATGCGGCCCGCCATTAAGGATCACTGGCTGAAGCACCCGGTGAGGGGCCTGGGTGGCAGGTGACTCTGCAGGGAAGCAGAGAGGGCCCCTCCATGTGTGGCAGGAACCTGAGATCAAGGGGGTGTGGGGCAGAGAGAGAGGATGCCTTAGGCAGCAGGACAGTCCCTTCCTCCCCAGCCAGGTCAGAGGCCACTTAGTGTATTACCTCCCTTCCGCCAGGGAAGTCTTAGGGGGTTCAGTGCTCTGCAGTGCTCTGGCTTTGGCCCCAGAGAGTGATGGGGCCTGAGAGTCAGCTCTGTCAGGGCCCAGGTTGCCCCCGTGTGTATCACTTGTGCAGTGGAGCCCACTGGTCCTGGGCCAACACATCTGAGTTTGAATCCTGAATCTGCCAATCAGTAGCTGAGTGACTTTGAGCACATTGCCAGTCCACTTCTCTGATGAGGATTCCAAAGTCCAGAGAGGTCTCGGTGTGGCCTGGTGCTGAGCAGGCCAGGGAGCGCCTGGGTGTGGGCATTTTGCCCATTCTGCTGCCTTTCTTGCCTCCACACAGTTGCAGCACAGGGTGCCACACCATGTTCCCTGGACTCTAGGAGGTGTCCCAGGGCCTGTGGGGAACCGGGAGGGACAAAGCCCTGCTCTGGTCCCCACTGTGACTGAACCGCTGCACTTCGGGCCCTTACGTGATCTGGGCTTCGCATAAGATTCTGTTTGAATGTCACTGCTCCCAGGCAAGTAGCTGCGTCTGCCCTGGGACAGGCCTGGATTCCCCTACCCCTCTCTCTCTTCCTGTGTTGAGGTTCAGTGGACCTTCCGTTGGGGCTGTGGAAGGAGGCCAGTGGGCTTAGGATGGTGATTGCCAGGAGGGAAGGCAGCCTGATTCCTGCACTTCTCCCAGGCTCCGGCTAACTGGCCTGTTGCTGGGGGTGGGACCGGTGGGCTCTGCCTGATCCTCAGGAACATCATCAAGTTTGCTGTCCCCGTGCTTGTCCTCACTGAGGAGCACTAACGAAGGTGTCTTTTTCCTCTCCCTCCCTTCGTTGTTCAGGGCCTGGCCCAGCTCTGTGTGACCATTGAGGAGTGCTGGGACCACGATGCCGAGGCTCGCCTGTCTGCAGGCTGCGTGGAGGAGCGAGTGGCCCTGATCCGGAGGTCGGTCAACGGCACTACCTCGGACTGTCTTGTCTCCCTGGTGACATCCGTCACCAATGTGGACCTGCCCCCTAAAGAGTCGAGCATCTAAGCCCAGGACACGAGTAGATCTCTAGACTCAGTGGATCTGAAGAGGAGAGGAAAAAAAAGTTGTGTTTTGTTTTGGAAATCCCATAACACCAACAAACACATAAAATGCAGCTGCTATTTTACCTTGACTTTTTATTATTATTATAATTATTATAATTATTATTATTAATATTATTTTTTGGATTGGATCAGTTTTACCAGCACATTGCTCTACTGTATCGCAAACAGCGGACACGTCAGCAGGCGTTGAGGTGCTGAGCTGTGAATGCAGAACCAGCGCCGTGCTGAAGAGCCTCAGCCACCTCCTGTCCTTGGGCTTCATTTTTCCCGCTTTCTCTTTGTTTGTTGTCTCAGAATCTGTGACACAAAGAAACCCATCTCCTGTCTTAGGAAACTTAATGCTGCAAACTCTACCTAGAGGAACCTTTGAAGACTGTTACATAAGAACACACCTTCCTCAAAAGAGGAGTTTCCCTCTGCCCTTGTCTCCCTCCCTCCCTCCCTCCCTTTATTGTGTTTTTCTCCCTTTTTAGACAGTGAGTTTAAGAAACAGCAGATGTGTCTTTCACGGATTAACGGGTGTTGTCCTGACCGAGGAAAAACTGGGATGAGGGTGAGGATGGTTTGGACTGGAGTTGGAAGGGGAGGATGGAGCTAGGGGTTGGGTTTGGAACAGAGCTACACTGGACTCGGGCACATTCGGAGCAACATCCTTTGCTATGAGGCTACTTCTCAGGTAACCAGGAATCAAGGGGAAGGACAGTGTGGAGGCCGAGCATTAACGGCAAGAGCGGGGTTTGGAGAAAGGCCAAAAGCAGGTGTGGCTCTGACCCATCTGCTGGCCCTGACCAGTTTTTTTCCACTGACTTGGGCTTGGGCATAGGACTAAACATTTTTCTGCCCTATTTTAAGGTTAGGTAAGGGTAGAAATCATCACAGTTTAGTGAGTACATTCTTCGTAAGACACGATACTATAAATATCTTTAATGGAGGAAAAGTTGAAATATGTTGCTTCCTCCTGGAGCAGTTCAGGGAAATGGCCACGGGGATGTCCTGCACAGCCAGGGCAAGAGGATTTCCTGGGTGGGGCCCACCAAGGCTTGCCTCTCTGGAGACCCTGAGAGTCCTACAGCACTGGCTCTGCCCCGAGTGGTGACAAAACTGTCCTCTTTATGTGGCTCGTGGACACGGCTTTCTCCAGACCCCTTAAAGTGGTGCATATTCTAAAAACCCTTTCTCTATTATGCTATAACCTTGCTCTAGTCAGTGAATGTTCCTAATGCTGCTGTTTCAACATTTGAATTTTTTTTAATTTATGAAACACGCAAATTTTTTTAAAAACAAAACACACACATCCACATATACACACACTTTGCTATGTGGCTTCCGAGGTTTAAATTTTGAAAAGTAAAAGAATTAAAACTTCACGACCACAGACCACCTCAAACCAGAAATACCTCAAAATTTTCTACTTGTGTAAGTTTTATTATATATTTTATTAGTTGTGTTGTCTTGTAGTAAGTATATTTTAATGTAAGTTGGCTTTTATGACAAGAAGGTTTAAAAGAAATAGAAAGGAAAAACGTTGGAGTTGTCTAGGGAGTGCTGCCATTTTTTGATAACACCCCCTTGTAAATAATTGTCATCGATTGTAGGTTGGCTGTCTGGGCCAAGTCTGGGCATTCATCACTCTTGTTTGTAAAGGCTTTTCCTTCTGGTTTGTTTACACCATTTTATTTAAAAACCGATCTCTTAATCTTGAGGGTAGGCGAGTTGGTGGGCGATGGGGAGAGGTTGACTTGGGTGAGAATGGGAGAGGGGTGCCTCCTCTTGGGTTATTTGGAGGTTCAGATGTTTCCCTTCACTTGACTGGTCGATGTTCAGAATGACAGGTAACTCCACTTTAACTTGGTAAAACTGTGGCCCTTAGAGACGCGCATGAGGTAATTTTACTTGAGATTTAATTTCTTAAGCAGGTTAGCAGCAACGATAGTGGAACAGACCCGTAGCGTCTCTGAATCCGCACTGTGCCTCGGGGCAGTGTGTGCTGGGGTAGCGTGTCTGGAGCGGGGAGTTCTCACTCCCTGCCTTGGAGTTCGCAGTCTCAGAGAGCACTGCACACACCCTGGGCCGTCTGCTCCCCACTCAGCACGCTGTTTGCGGTCTCTGGGGCCTGCCACATGGGTGTGTCCTTTTTCTGTGTGTTTGGGCACAGGGGGCTGTGGGAGGTGAGTTTTCCTCCATCTCAGAGCTCGGTTTTTGTTTCATGGGTCAAAATGTGAGCTGGCCAAGGTGGTTACAGGGACAGGTTTTTATGTTTTTGTTTTTTTGGTAAGGTATGTTGTCTTTTTCTTCTCTTTTTTTTATTTTGTGCTGTGGTATTTTTCTTCCCTCAGAATAATTTTTAACAGTGAAACAGGCCTTACAGCAGTTGCTTTTCTTTTCCACGTATTTCTTTAAGAAGCTTTAAAATATTTATTGAAAAGTGCCATATCTAATTTCTTCAGCTTTCTCCTCAGGCAGTGCCAGGCATCTCTACTTTTCACCCTCAGAAGAAACAAATAAACCACTAACAAATGTAGCTAATTTACCACAGGAGTGATCAGATCACTGGTCCTACCCAGTGTGGAACACTAAACCCCAGACTCTCCGTTTGGTTTTAGATTTCCTCTGGGTGATTTTTCTTTTGTGTACTGGCTTGATTCTTGTGAGAACAGGTTTCGGCCTGGCTGTGGAGGCTTGAGCCGTGGCCCTGATGTGGGACCTAGTGGTCAGGACACAGTAGAGACGGGGCGGGCCTTCCTGTCGGCCTGCACGCCTTTTTTCTGGGTGGGCTCCCTCTTTGCTGACCGTGTGCTCAGCTGCTGTAGCATCCCTCTGGGGCCTTGGCACCAGAATGAAGTGTCAGGAAATGGTACCTGTTTGGTGTGCCCGGGGGAGGGGAGAGTTGGGGGGGGGCTCTGTGCCAGTTCTTTGGGTTTCAGGCTGCCTTTTCCCTGGTGCTGTGGTGTAAAATGCACCCATTAGGAAGTATCGCTGACTGCTGCTGATGGCTAGAAGGTGGGTGATCGCTTTTCAGGGCTTGCTGCTGGGAGCCTAGGTGGGTCTTTTGCCTCAGATAAAAACTGTGTGTTTGCTGTCATGTATTCTTTGCGGAATGAACCATCTAGAGCCCTGGTTTGTATCTATTGGGTTGTAGGGTCTCTGTGCTCTTCTCCACAAAGATTTCATTTGACTTCCACTTACAGGGAGCTCAGATAACTGCTCCTTTTTTTCTTCCCCAAACTCTGTGGAAGACTGGTGGGAATGGAGTTGGGCATCATTTTCCCTGCCCATGGGAAAGGCTGCTGCATCTCGGGTAGGAGGGTGACCAAGTTAGGGGAGAGACGTGGCCAAGGATCCTTGCTCCTTCCCTCCTAGTGCACTGGCATCCAAGAGGCTCCTGGCTGTGGGATGGGCTTTCAGGGAGAATGTGTTCTGTTTGAAAACACCCATGATCCCTATGAGAAGACATCCCCAGCCAGAGAAATCCAGGAATGAGCAAGAGGAGGAGGAAGAAAGTGGGGACAGAGGCCACTGTGTCACAGTGTCCTGCAGAGGATTCTTAATGACATGGGGGCCAGAGAAGGCCATGGACATCGTCATTAGAGCATCCTGGGGCTGGCATGAGCTGGGTTTTCTCCTGGGACCATTGGTCCCTATCAGGAGTCCTTTGAGTGAGTTACTCAGGGTGAGGGCTGCAGATGGGCTGTTCTTAGGAGAAAGGGAGACCTGGCTGTGAGGGACAGTGGTGAGCATCATCAGCCGTTGTTGTTCAGCATGGCCTTCCTGTCCTGATGGCTCTTGGTAGGTGCCCGGAGGGATCCATCCTGCCTGAGGAAGGCTTCTGCATGTGTCCCAGCTGCTTATGACTCAGAATTCATCTTTTCTGGACTTGGGGCATGTGTACAGAACAAGAAGGACTTGTCCAGCCTTTTACATCTTCAGGAGGCTCAAGCCCCCAACTCACATATTCCCAACCAAGGGAAAGGCTTCTCATCTCCAGGCCACCGAGCTAGTTCTTCCACTGCCTCTAGGGGCCAGGCCAACTCTCTTGTCATGGCTTCTCATGTCATGCTTTAGAAAGCAAAGCAGGTGATCCTGCGCTTCTGCTCTGTCACCTTTCTCTCCAGTTGGCCATGTTCTTGCTCCCTGCTACCCTGCCACTCTGCACTGGGTGCTTGGGCTATGTGTGTGGTGTTTCCTTGGTGGCAAGCCCAGCTGTGTATTGAAGGTCCCCCCTGCGCTGTATGTGGCTCCGAAAGCCTGTCACATGGCCAGTATACTCTGAGCCATGAGGGCAAGGAGGTGGCTCTCTCATCTGGGGTGGGAGGACTAGGTGGCCCTCTTGCAAATGGGATTTTGCCCTTTTTAGAATGCAGTGTAAATTCCCAGCTCCTATTGGTAATACAAGGATTTGATGTTTTGTAGTACTATAGTAAGCATAAGTATGTAAGTTTTTAAAATTGGTACTAGAAGTCAAATAGCCAGGCATTATTCCTGAGAACTTGGCTCACTAGAAAAATATCTAAATTGGAAAACGTTTTCTAAGAGTTAACTCAGTTTGATCGTTACTCCCAGCTATTTCAGTAGCCTCTTGGGTTCTTAATGGCTCATCTTCGGAGAGATGGCCAGGCATGGTTCACATTTCAGAGGCACTAGACCTTTCCAAGAAGCACAGTGAATTTACTTATCTACCCTTCACCCAGGGTGAGCAGTCAGAAAGGAAGGGGCACAGTGGCTTTTTCTCCTTATTTGGGTGACATGAATTCTCCCTGGTCAATGGCTGTTTACATAAGCTGAACTAATAAAATACTCAGCAGCTAATGTGTTCAACTTAGTAAGGACGGGTTTAGGTCTCGACTAACAGTAATGTTTTAGGTAAAGAAACAGGCCCAGTAATTCAGTTAATGACGTTTATCTTCTCAGTCTAGATTTGTAAACGTTTCATGAATTCAGGGTTAGACACACAGTTCTTTAAGTAAGATTCCTGGTAGTTGATTTGTAGCCAGCAATCCACCTATGAATGTATTCCAAACCTTTAAAAGGCTTGGAAAAGTTTTTTAAGATAATCATTTAGTTTTGTAGGAAAAAGAAATTGAAGTTTAAAACACCACCCCTCCCCAAAATTAATTCAGTTGACTCAGCCACATTTTAAAAACAATTAATGGGTCCAAGAGACCCATAAACTATCATCAAATAAAAGACCGAATTATCTAGGGATATTTTGACTATTCCTATTTTATACTTATTTTGGGTCCACTGTAAATGTAGGTTTGGACAAGATTTTGAATTTAAAGGATTTGCCACTATTTAAATTTTTACCAAGCTTTTACATTTTTGTGACAGAATCTTCCAGGTATGAGTGAAGCAGGACTTTTTGATTGTGGTACTCCATGTATCCCTGTAGTGCCAAAACCAGTGATAATTTATTTACTCTTATGGCAGCTCGTAGAGACAAGACAGGTGGTTTTTCCTCATGAATTAAAATGTATATTCTCTAAACGCCAATGTGTGCTGATGGCCTGGCACTGCCCTCTTTTCTCCAGCACTGTCTTTGGATTGTCTGGGGCCTGGGCTGTTCTAAGAACTACTGCAAGCCAACTACAGGACACTTAAGAAATATACACGTGGACATACGTGTGTATGTAGTGGATTATACAAACGTGGGCTCTTCTGGACATCTACGGAAAAGTGTTACATTCATTTGCAAAGTTTACATTTTTGAGCTCACAGTTACAAAAAATATGACCCATTAGCTAATGCTTTTCAGGCAGGTGAGGTTGGGTTTTTTGCTAATGGGTGAGTTCTGTCTTGAGTCCTCGGAATTTCTACTGTTGGTTGGGCATGGGCTCATTCCCTGACTGTCCCAATCACGTTTGCATTGGAATGTTTTTAGGTAGCGTTGTAAATAAAAGAATAGGTTATATAATAGAGATACGACACTTGAAATTTTATTTTAAAAAAATCTATAGCTCTACATATATATTTAGTTATATCACCTGACAGATTCTTCTGCACAGTGTGGAGATTGTTTTATACCACAGATTATTTTTATAAAGTCTAGTGAGTTTGAATAAGAATGATTTTGTAACCCGAGTAACGAGCTTTACCTTTCGAGATAAATGTACACTGGAGTGTGAGTGGTGTGGCGCTTTTACTTAACACTCATGGCTTCTCGTGATACACTGGCAGATTGGAGTCCATTTATGGTTCTTGTTTGGCCTAAACTCCACTTGTGGCTGTGTAGGACAGTGATGCTTCAGCTCGGCTCTTGCAGGTTGGGAGGAGAGGGGCTGGGGAGAGGTGAGAGGAGCCTGCCGTGTGTTCCACATTCATGCTTCCTTTGGGATTTCTTTTGAACAAAAGGTTCTGAGGTTAAAAATTCGTTCGTAAGCTCCTGCCATAGGATGTAGTAGTGTGAGGATGTTTTGGGGAACAGAAATTGTATGGGGGTGCAGATTGGGGTGGGTTGGGACTAGAATAAGAATCAGGCCACAAACATTTGAAATGAGGATTTAGTGATTTGAGTAATCCACCAAACCAAACTATTTAGGACCAAATTGTCCAGTTTTCAGGACAGAATTTCCAGTTGAGTAATGATTCACAAAGGGGGAGGGTGGGGAGGGCGGTGTGTGGACATAGTGGTCAAAT